AACACAACAGCAAATGTACAACGTTTCAACAAGGTTTTGTCATCATCAGGTTGTGTTAAACTTATATTAAAGTTTTTCTTCATTACCCATTCAAGCCGTCTCCAACCATTATTAGTCTCAAATTGGGTTCATTGTCATCGAATTTAACTTTATGTGTGTTTTGAATGAATGCTAATACATGACTGTGTATGATTTCACAAACTTGTACATACACACTAGGTAATTTTCGGTCACTCAGTATACACCTGTGTGGTATCTTCTATCTAAAAAATTACATGAAATGACAATGTTAAATCAGGCAAGTTTGACTCATAGAAACCCATATTATACTTCACTGTTTAACACAAAATCACAACAACATCACCAATTTTTCTTCTTAATATACAAATTTGAATTCGTATTTTAGTAAGACGATAAGAAAATTACCTCAGTGTCAAAAGATAAGGTTTCCATAAGCTTTTCTTTAGCTTCTGACCCTATGTGCACCTTCTGACCATCCTTGACAAAGTTGTTATCCTTCAGAGTGACCACCTCTTTTCCCTGTAACACAATCATTTTATTTTAGTCTGAACTTCACAAGTGGATACTCTATGGTAAGTTGTGGTGATCACATATATATAACCTGTCATTATGGTTGGTTAAAATGTCTGGTCATATTCTGTCTGATGAACTTGCATCTTGTCAATATATCTGGAGTGTAATTTACTGTAAAAGACTTCATCATTTCTGTAAGCCATCTAGAGTAAGAAGATGGCTGTTTCAACAAGTGGATTGCTCATAAATCCATAATTGCTACATCTTAGTGATTTGGCCAATATGTATTCGTACAGTATAACATGGCTACTGATTTTACTCTTCAGCTGCTTGAAGTATGGGGCAGTTCAACAAATATGATTTGGAAGTAAATTCTGTTGTTTTTCCAGATGGATATCTTATTTGATTATCTGTCATACTGTTGCCTGAGACATGTAGACCACTTCTGTCATTAATGTTTGTGTTCATTGATTCTCACTGGTTACAAAATGTCACACTTTGCTTACTACGACTGAGGTACTACCTGTTGCAGATCTCTTTCTGGATGGTCCTGATTCTGCAAGTTGATTGATATTCCTTTGCTTTTCAATGCCATTAACCCTTTCGCATCGAGTAGGTCAAAGTGCGCATTTCACAACCTTTTACAAAGTTACATTCAAAATTTAATTAAACTACTTCATTATTAATGTATGTGAATAAACTTGGCATAGTTAATAAATCAAATGTTAATATTATTTATGTTTTTCTTTAGTTCTTAATTTTATAAGAGAATACAAAACAAATCCTCAATATACCCTAGTATGAGAACCGTGACATTTGCTCTCTAGGTCTTCCTTCTTCCCTAATTTATTTACCACCCCTCTGGGAAGTACAGAATTTAACATAAATTAATTATTATAATATAGATATTACTCAGGCAAAGCATCATTTTTCCAGCCTATAAGCTTATTTGTTTATGGAGCCGTAAACTAGAAAATCAGACCCCCTTGCTATTTCCCACTTGTCACATCCTCTCTTTGTTTACGGAGCCGTAAACTAGAAAATCAGACCCCCTTGCTATTTCCCACTTGTCACATCCTCTCTTTGTTTACGGAGCCGTAAACTAGAAAATCAGACCCCCTTGCTATTTCCCACTTGTCACATCCTCTCTTTTGTTTTCTCTAATGATATATAAACTATATTATTTATAACCAGTGGATAGCCCAAGTTTTAATCTATCAAATAACATATTATATTACATTGTTTTCTGTACATTGAATTGTCTATCTTGCTTCCAGTTGAGATTAAACACATCAACAAGCTTAGCCAACCTTTTGATGGCTCTTATCACATAGTCAGAAAGCTAGAAAAACTATGATAGTTCTAGGACACTGTCAGCCTTTTACTTGTTATTATTCTGTGTTCTTTGGAGCATTATTTAATTAAATAAAATACTGTTTAGTGTAGTAGTACCATCAGTATAAAAAAAGTAGGCTTAAGTTTCATCCATAGTCAACAGCAAAAAAGACCCAGGTAAGTACTATATTTCTTGTTTTTCATCTGTATTCTTTATTTATTATTATAAAAGTAACTAAAATGTACAAATTAGAAACTTATTAGGTTAGAAAAAATTAATTAGGTAAAATAAAGAATAATAAAAATTATTCACGAGGTATACTAGCAAGCAGCTTGTGCACTACATAATTCAATAGGATAAGATGAACTACACAGTTTAAGGGTAATAAAACAATAAAAAACAGGGTAAGATGAACTACACAGTTTAAGGGCAATAAAACATTAAAATTTAAGTATTAATAGATGTATACTGTTACGAGTTGAAACAATTGTGGTTTCCTGTTACAATTTGCAATCATTCCAGAAAGGAAAAAAAACAAACAGTAATTCAGAATTATTTGCAAATTTTTTATGGTTTTTATGAGGTCAATCTATTTGACCAACCCTACACAGAGTTATCGTATAGAAAATAACAGATAAAATATAATGTTTTTCTGAAAAAAAAAAATTATATTTATTTAGGTTTTAAGGATTAAGCAAATGACATTTGAAAATTTTCCGATGAAGAAAAGTATTCTTAATCTTAACATGAAAATCAATTTGCACTCGGAGCAGTCAACAATGACACCATATAATTATGAACAAAGGTTTAGTAAAAACACTTCATTAAAAATTCTGATTTTTTGTCTACAATTAAATTAATGTTTACTGAAAGCTTGCTAAATTTCGTGAAGATAAATTAAGTACTTTCAGACTCATAGTACGTACACTACCATGGTTACAAGGTCGTTTAAAATACATTAGCCTGTTGTGATAGGGTTAAGCACAAGGGATGTCTCCACATAGGAAATTCTACATCCCAGATCTGAACGCATCTTTATGATCCAAGTGTATGGATATTTTGCATCAAGAAAGTGATCCATTACCACTATCTATGATATTCCAAACAACATCAACATATAGCTCTGATATGTGTCACTCCACCATAACTTAATATGTCATATGGCTTCTCAATTTCCATATTAAAAATAGTTGTACCATAATGTATTTTCTTCCTTCGAGTAGTTTGAGATATAGTTGAGGTATTCACCATTCTATTAACATTGATAACTTTTATAAAAAAAAAAGAAAACCAACAACAAAAAATCAACCTTTCAGTTTAACCAATATTTTGAGGAAACAAACAATAATTGAGACAAACTGTTAAAGTACATCAATGACGGAAATATGAAGTGACTTACCCGGTCCTTATCCCTAATCTCTCTGTCCACTGTTGAGCCCTAAAGGGTTGAAAAACAATCAAATAAATTCTGTTTCAATTTGATTCCAATTTGAGGGCAGGACTGAGTGAGCATATATAACAACTTTTAATTCAAAACTACTTTACATAAAGCTCCAACTAAAAACTGATACAAAGAAACAGTTGTAGCATTTAATCATGAAAAAGAAAACTTATAACACAGAACACTAAGTTTAAGTAAAGTTAAAACTCTAAAATATGAATCTAATCTACTGACTCAGCAATAATAAACTTTATAAAGATGAACAAAATATGTAATTTTTTAAAATAATTAGTTTCGCATATGATTTAAAATTCTTAAAAATTTACAGCAAAATGTTCATAAAATTTGGAAAGAACATCCAAACAAACATGAATTTTTTTAAGTCAAAATAATTATATGATTATGTTATCATGTATTAATCATTCTACTTAGAAACTGCATTTTGATGTTAAGCTCATTGACATACATTGATAATAAAATTGTTTAGTTAAATTTGAAATGCGACAAGCACACTTTGACCCTCTGATATGCATAGGGGTTAAGGACAAATAGCAACATGAAATACTTTGATATTTTACACTGATGTTTTAAATATAAAATATTTGTTTAACAAGTACATAAGAGAAGGTTTTTTTTTATAAAGTATTGTTGTTACTTCTAAACCAATTCTAAAAAAGCACAGCAGTTGAAGCATAAGTTGTAACTAAAACTTGAAAAGATACTGTACCTTCAGGTCATACTTCCTGTGGATAATGAGTGAGCTACTAAAGATGTTCCTCATCACAACCAGGTAAGTTTCTACTCCATCTACAGTCAGCCTGTACATGCCCAGATACTGTGGTAACAAGGTCTTTCCATGACGTTCCACTACATACTGCACACACATTTACTATTAGTAACAACTATACTAATACTTATTGTAAAGTTCAAGATACATGAAGAACTACACTAAACATCATTAAGACAAACATCCCTATCACATTTACTATTAGTAATAACTATACTAATACTTATTGTAAAGTTCAAGATACATGAAGATCTACACTAAACATCATTAAGACAAACATCCCTATCACATTTACTATTAGTAATAACTATACTAATACTTATTGTAAAGTTCAAGATACATGAAGATCTACACTAAACATCATTAAGACAAACATCCCTATCACATTTACTATTAGTAACAACTATACTAATACTTATTGTAAAGTTCAAGATACATGAAGAACCACACTAAACATCATTAAGACAAACATCCCTATCACATTTACAAAACCTTTACTTTTTCCACCAGGAATCCACTAATATTATATGCTGAAATGTAATCCTATATCTAAGAGAATGTAATAATAGTTTTTTAAAAATAATACACTATTAAAACAATCCCTGTTATTATTATTAAAGTTTGTCAAGTGCAAAGTGCGTTAACTATTAGCAGTGTTTTATTGTATTAATGACTAAACTACCCGTTACTCTGCCTGAATACAGTTTCTATAAAAAAGCTGAAAGCTTGCATAATGAAGTAAGTAAAGGCAGAATATGACTTGTTAAGATTAGCATTTTTAAAGATAATTGTGATGTTATGAGTCCACACAAACATTTAAAACTTGTTGAATGAAACTTTGTAGAATGGACGGCAACTGTCTGTTGTAGAGACACAAGTGTACAGGACAATATTTCGAAAGCATTCTGCCTTTCATCTTCAGGTGGAAGACTTTTGAAACATCATCCTCTACACTTGTGTCTCTACAACAGGCAGTCGCCGTTCATTCTACAAAGTTTCATAATGAAGATTCTGCCTAAACAATCTATCAAAGAATTGTTGAATATGTTTTTTCAAGAAACTGTACAAGTGCAGTGC